ACTCAAGGGTTATGGTCTTAAAAAACGCCCATCAAAGCGTCGCAAGGTTATTTTAAATGTTGGAAATTTTCGCCTATGTCTTGAATTCTTAGGTTTATTTTGGAGAAGGGTATGTTAAGAATTAGGTGAGAGGAAGTGTTCTCTTGATTATTTGTAGTTTTTTAGGATTTATTTGACGAAAAATAAGAACAAGTTTAAAAAGTGTTATTGTGGAATATGTTTAAATGGGATATAAATGGAAAAAGCTTATTGGGAAAATTTTTTGGAGAAAGAGTGTGGAATTGGTTTTAGGATAATGCATGATGAGGGTTGAGAATGGATCTTTGGGTGGGGCATAAGAAGTTTGATGGTAGCATGCTTGATTGGAAGAAGAGAAATTCCTCCCCTTGGTTTTGCATGTAACAGGTTGAAGGCCACCTTAGGGTAGTAAAGTGGTTTAGCGTTAATTGTTTTTTTTTTTTAGTGTTATGGCTATTATAGTATGATGAACATATAGTATGAATTATTTTGAATAACTGTTCGGCTATGTTTTAGAGTTTTTTTTAAAAAATGGATATTTAAAGGTGTGATGTGCTGTTAATTTTGAATAAGGAAGAGTATGATTTTGCATGATAAGAAATTACTTCGATGAGTAAAGATTTCATGTATGACTTTAAAAGAAAAAAGAATGTTAAGAAGAAAAGGAATTTATGGAGGAAATTTCCTAGTAGTGTGAGTATTATGTTTTCAATGAGTTCACTTAGTTCTAAAGTAAGAATTACATGGTATGATTTCATATGATAGACTTTCTAAGTTAAGTAAATTATGTTTAAGTATAGAATTTTTTCATGAGTTACTTAGCATTCTAAAGTAGCTTACATTATGAATTTAAGAAGACTAAAGAATAAGACAAGTTTTATGAGAAGTGTTAGTGAATTAAGAAATAAACAAGGATTTGGGCTCTAATGATAACTTGGTGTGAAGTTTGATGGCGTGATTTGATTTTATTAGCGTATGAATGAGGCATGCCCGGGCATTTGATGCCATTGAATGATAAGAGAGGCTAGTGATCATATGGCTAGGCACGTGGGTGTGCTTATGTTTAGGGCGGACGCGCTCTATATGTTTATGAAAAGGTTGGCCGACCTAAGGCTATTATTGAATAAGTTGATGAGAAACCTATCTGCTGTCTTCGTTTCTCCTGAAGTGTAAATGGGCGGAGCCGCTTAAGAACATATTTATGAGGCAATTAAATGAATGGGATCATATTCTTTTAGTAAAGGCCTTACTGTTGGAATTTATGATTATGTTATGCCAAGATGAATTTTCAAAGAATGATATTTCGGTAGCGATGATTTTTAAAAATAAATCAGTATATGTATTGGTATATACAATGTTTCAAGTAATGAATTTATGATTTGAAGGAATTTATACATTATTTAATGTTATTAATTATAAGTTTTTATTTGATTTCTGACAGTACAGAACTAAAGTATTTATGTGATAAAATGTTTAAGTAAGGGATTATATGGTTATAAAGAATTAAATTTTTATTGTTATTACTAATAGTTTTATTTGATGATTTCTTTTGCTATAAATGTAAATATTGTTGAGAATTTAATGATTTTATGATTGTGAAATATTTTAATGAGAATTTGTGTTGAAAGTAAGTTGCCATTGGTAACTTGTTGGTAAGTATGTGTGAAGTTAATGAGAGCAGCGGCAAATGAGTTTTATCTCAAGGCGGCGTCGATTTTTATCACGTGTAGGGTTGAAAATCGGTGGGTTGCTGACTTGAAAGATTAGAAGAGTAGTATCAAAGGGCAGAAGTGACTAATGTTGGTAAAAGTAGATTTGAGGATTTATGTAATTAAGAATTATAACATGTATATAATTATTAACATTTTCAGAGAGTATGTTATTGTGAATTATAAACTTAAGCTTGAAGTTAATTTTGGTGTATATTTGGAGATAAGCATGAAGATTGATTAAATGATTTAATATAGAAATATTTTAGGTAGTTGGTATGATTAGTTTATTGAAGGACTTGATATATGTAATGAATGGCAATGTAATTGATGAATATTGTTAAATGCTATTTGAGGATTTAATATAGTTATAAAGATATAGATAGTGTTGTTGTGCTATGATGAAGTTATTTGGAGATGTTGGAGTTTGGAAGCTTTAAGTTGAAGAGTATTTTGTAGTTGCAATAGTTTTTGAAAGGGATATTCTTTCAGTATTTGCTTTAGGATTTTTCCACAAAATCATGTAATAAAAAAAAAAAAAAGCGAAAATTACTCGGCAAACTTGTGAATACTCAATTAGGCTTCTAATAGAAATTGTTAATTTTTTATGATTTATGATGTTAAGTTAGAGACGGTGGGCCTTCGGCACGCGAATTGTGGCATCGCTTCGTTGGGTCTCTCGGGGCTGGGCAGAGAGTGTTACAAGAAACAATATAGGAACAAATTCTGTTATGGTCTTGGGCAGGCTGTAAGGTCCTTGACTTGATCTTAGCTTTTTTGTTCAAAAGATCCTTGAAACAGGAGCACAATAAGTAGGATGAAAGATTTTTTTAACCACAATAGTTCATAGTAGCGAGGTGAGTTTTTGCTAACAGACAAATAGAGTTAGAAATGAAAAACGAGGTCAACAAAAACAAAGATAAATGGAGATGAGATGGGAATGGGATCAGTGGTACGGGCATATAGTTGACAGAAAATATGGACCATGCAGCTAGAGTAACATGACGATAAATATTGTTTTAGGTTCTTTTAAATGAGGATAAGAGAGGCTAAGGGTTACGCCTGTATGTGATCTGTGGCAAAGCGCATAATCAATGACCGGCGCATTCTAATGGGGTAGACATAAGGACATGTTATAGGAGTACTGAATTGGTAGGCAACAGCAATTTGAAGTGGGGCCAGACTTAGAAGAACGCGTTATCTAAAAGAGCTGCATCATACTCTGCAGGTACGAAATTATTAACTGTTGTTAGAAGAATGCGACTGGCAGAATCTTGTAGTGACCTTGTCCTTGGCAAACTTATTTAAGTTAGTTTCTTGCAATATGTTTAATGTGACCAGCTTCATGGAATTAATGACAAATAATAAATGCTCAGCCTAGTGAGAGCAAAAGTTACGAAGCCCTGAGGTGGGTTGGCCTAGACTTGACAGTCAGCCGAAACATAGAATTTTGCCTGTGAGTTTCAAGCGCAAAGAGCAGAAAAAAACTTAATAGAGTCGAAGGCTTAATTACGGCATGTAAGTTGCAATGTGGAAAAATAGTTATTGTGTATATTTTGGCATGCAAGTAAGGGGTCGCGATATATACACATATGACAAGATACTATAACCTATTAGGAATCTAACTCCATAATAGACTCTATTTACAACTAGTCCTGTAACAAATTCAAAATGGCAATGTTTTGAAAATAGATGAGCAGATGATGAAGAAGAAGAGGAGGAGATTGATGAGTACTTTATTTAAATGCGTAAGAGCTAAAAGTTTGGCTTGCGCCATTCTAGCCTTGAAAGATATTTGGAGGAACGCTCCTGAGAAGTTTTCAACTAAAGGATTTTGATTTGTTATTATGGTGAAAAGTGAGAGTTCAATTTAAAGTATTTCTATTTTATCGCAAAGTAATAAGGGTTATTTTGGACAATTCAATGCTGCAATGGTTTGCTTCGTGATCTACATTTAGGGCACGCAAATGGAGAACTTTAGATCAATTTAGGGAGTAACTTAGGGAATTCTTTGGGCTTGCGCAAACTGATTAGAAAGGTCCTAATTTAGGACTTGTCCAAGAATTGATTGAGAATTCCAAAGTATTCCAACTTGAAGAATCCATTGAGGAGGCTATGAAGAGTTAGGAGTTAGACTAAAAGTATTTGTATCAAAAGTAAATTATATGATATTAATTATTCAATGTTCACATTTTTTCCTATAAGCATTTTTTTTTTTTTTTTTTTTTTTTTTTTTTTTTTTTTTTTTTTTTTTTTTGGCTTTGCTGTGGCATTGAATAAAATTAGCCCAGATTTTATGAAAAGTCGAAATTCGAAAGTTGGTTCGTTACATCAGGAATTCCAAAGTGGATTGCTAGATATGAATATTAATAAATTAGAACAGAAAAGATAAGCTCGCCTTGTATTGTAGGGCGAAATGGAAATGAACGTATGGATGGGAAATGAAATGAAAAATGATATTTAAGATATAATTTTACACGAAGAAAGCATGTATTATATATAGGAAAAATGGACACAATCGTTTCCGAAATAATCAAGAATGCTTATGACTGAGTTTACGCTCCCGGCTTCTTCGAGAGCAGCGTCCATCGGCTTCTGCGTTTTAATCCGGCTTGATCCCAGGCCCTCTTATAAACCGCAGGCTAAGCCTGGTAGCTACTCTATTCCTGCTGCAGACGGCTTTTTAGCCAGCATTTGTCTTCTGGGTAATCAGCGAGCTATTTTTATGTGAGGGCAAGTAAAGATTCAATTTTTATGAGCTGGAATGCGGACGAAATTTAGTAATGGAAGAGGCAGAGGATTCAGGTGCAGTGCAAGCAGAACGAGAACTGTGTGAATAGTTGGAATTTATAGGATACCAAGCCCAAAAACAATCCAAAACAATCCTGTCTGGGCCTAATCTGTTTCACTTCTCTAGGTATGATTGGAATTTCACAATACTAATGTGCAACAGCTGGACGAAAGCCAGGAGGTGCAAGGAGTAAAAGCCAACACATCTAGAAAAACGACATGTTTTTGGTGGTATTCCGCTCTTGGGGTAGTGTTTTGAAATAAGCTGCAATTAAATGCGATTTTGAAAAGCACTGCTCCCAGTGCAAAAGCAAATGTTAAATTTCCACTATCTTAATGAACTTGTAAAATGAAATAAGAATGAAATAACTAAAATAATTTTGGGATCAGAAGCCTACTGATGTAGTGATGCAAGAAAGCAGGATCTTTTAAACTTAAATCAGGAGTATATTTTCAATTGCTCTTGGTCAAACGGGCAAGTCGTTAGCTAAGATGATCACATCCTTCATACACTTCCAACCCTGGCTGAGTTTTAGTTGATCCTCTTTAAGCAGGCAGGCATCGGCGTTTACCTTATCTTTGCCAGTCAAAGCAATTTCTTGAGGCCTCTGACTAATGCTAGGGAGCCACTGTCACATCCAACCTGGCAAAGATACTTTCTGATATAAACAGTCAACAGAAAATTATAGTCGCTGTACCGTGGATTAATATGTCGAACTTAATACTCGTGCCTGTAGGCAGAGTGAAGCTCGCGCTGGTGCTACAGATTTTATGGCATTAGCTGTTCCTGATACCATACGTTGGTCTAGCAGGGATTGTCAATTTTACATAACTGTGCAGTAGACAGAACTACGCCCAAATTAAGTTGACAAGGGTAAACTTAAAGAAAAAAAAAGTAAGAGAAGAAAGAAGAAATTACAGTAAGTAGGGCCTGCTCTCACGCCTCACGGCCTGACTCAGCGCCTTGAATTGGGCAGACTAGGTTGTTTTGGCCGTTCTTCATTTTTCTGTTGTGCTCCAAAAGTTTTGCGCCGGCACCTCTTGCTGCTTTGCTATCATCCCTTTCAAAGTTTTGGTGGGATTTCCTTGATTAGTCATAATGAACGACCAACCAGTTTGCCAACAAAGCCTGCATAAAAAATATCGCTGTATAATGTGTACCTTTATTGTTTTACTGCCAATACGCACATGCACCATCAATAGGAGTGCATTACCGAAAAGGTCCAGCAGGGGGCGGGGGTTTGCAATAGATATACATACAAATATTAGGATGTTTCTAGTGCTTCCGGATTAATTTGAGACACAATTTTAGTTTCACTTCCACTAGTTTTGCGCAGACTAGAATGTTCCTATCAGTAGAAGTGAGAATTTCCAGGTTGTCTTTATGAACAATAGGCATCCCAATATCATTAATTAGTTTAGTAATGCTATTTGTACTAGCAAAAAAAGAAGAGATGGGTGAAATTACTATTGCATGTTAGGTGGTAATTTCAGAATGGGCTGTAGTAAGTGCCCTAGGAACTTTGATTTTCACGTCAAGTTTGTTCTGCGAGATCTTGTTTGTTTTTGGTCATTTTAAGGATTATGGTGTTGTCTTGGACTTAATTAAATGATGAGAAGGCTGGACAGAGCAGTGCAGAAACATGGCAGAGAAAGCAATGATGTTCTAGTTGTGGTGTCCATATGACTCAACTTTTTTTGCTGATTAGCAGTGGCAGATTCTCTTAATAAGCCTTTCAAATATATGCCAACTGCTATGGAGATTGTAGTATCTAAAAATTTTTATAAGAGTAGCGTTATGTGTGCAGAGGCATTGTTTGTTAATGCCAGAGGCAATACATTTTCTAAATTTTACTCCTATTTATATCTGCGCTAAAAACTAAAAACCAGCTTATGGTACCAGAATTGCAATAGGCTATAATAATTGGTAAGTGAGAACAATAGAAAGGTACACAGAAGAAACAAATTCAAAGAGTTTTGAGAAGTTTTGACGCAGACTAATCAACTTTGCGTTCTTCAGATCTCCCTAAATAAAGAAAACCGGTATACGAAATCTCGCGGAGTTAGGGTTTATTTGTTGTTGCAATTGGAAAAAGAATGGAAGCTAAGGCAATGTACTCAAGGAGAGAGAAATTTTAATTCGGCGTTCTTTCTCTTGCCATTGCCTGGGCTATGGCTCTATAGGCCCTAATTTAAACATACTTTGGCTACTTAGAAAACTCGGTTGTCTCTTTACCATGTTCTAAAAATATTCATATTGTTAACGAGTTCTTTAAATTATGTGTTTTACGAAGCCGGCGATTCATGTTTATTAGTGGGTTTCTAAATTATTTTCTTTTCTTCTGTTTTGAGTCTTTTATTTATGGATTTAAACAGGGCAGCACGATGGCAGTTAGCAGAGGAATTTTTTTTTTTATTCCTATCTTTGTAGTAGGCACACGTGGATGATAGCTATTTTTAATAATGCTTGTGAGGATAATAAAGAAAAAGAGTAATTGAGATCCAATGGTTTTTATGTAGGTCTTTGTTGAAATTAAATAGTGGTAAACGCAGAGCTTGGAAAAGGAAGATGATTGTTTTAGATAATGTATGCTCTGGCAATGGTGGGCTACCATTGTTTATAAATTATTAAAAATCCTAATAGCTGTATGCACAAGTGATAATTTTTATAATATAATGTAATTTTAAACGAGTAAAAGTGCTTGTAAAAGTTTTATGATTATTTTAGCATCTGATCACACCGTAGGGTAATTATGATAATACTGCACAATTAAGGGTTTGCAAATCACTATAAATAAATTAAATTAGACTATCATGTTAAAAATTTGGATAAATACAATAGGTTGCTTATTGCATTATGAAAGCGCATGCTTTTGCCGTTTGTGTTTGTAAAAAAGATAAAATAGACTTATCTGAAGGCGATGGCCTAATAGTATTTTAGTTTAGGGCTTTGTTGCAAAAGAATTATGTGATTGGAGGGCTAAAGATTGATATAAGCATGCAAAGAAGCTGCTACTTAATGAAATTAAACATAAAATGCAAGGGTAAAAAAATTGAAACAGGCAAAACAAAATGTTACAATTTTTTTCAAAAAAGTAAATTAAACGCCATTGAAAAAGATAACAATTGACATCAAACAAATGAGAAGAAAACTATATTATTAAATTACCCTAGAGATGAGCACGTTCCTATCAATAAAAGTAATCACTGCTGTTTTTGTAAATAACTAAAAATAATATTTTTCTTCTTTTTGAAATTTAATATGTAAGTTAATTTTCATGATTAATGTCACGCCCCGCACAAATAGCAGGCAGAAGTTGCAAAGGCAGGCGCTGCCAACAATTTATAAGCAAGGCTTAGAAATGGGTACAAATTGGGCTGGCGCGAGCAATGTGCCAGGCCTTGAGAGTCTGCTAGCCGGCAAAGTTGGAGGTGCCAAGCCCGGCATTCTAAGAATACTCCACATTACTTCCAGCCCAAAAGGATAATTTGTATAATGTGCGTAAGCATTAATTCTAGATTCTCGCATGGTAATGCTAAAACCGTTCATTTTTGTAGACAAATCTTGATAGCCGTTCATTGGGAGGTGGAAATGGCTATAAATACCAGCTCGCTCACCTCCACTTGTAACATCATCCAAGCTCATCTAAGGCAAGATACAGAAGCATTTTGAGTGTTAAGAGTGTCTCTTGTGTTTCTTCTGTCTGAACTTTTTAGCTCAGCATTTTCGCTCGCAACACAATTGCCAACGGCTTACTTAGCGCATCCTAAGTCCCTCAAGGGTGGACTCAAGTGCCGTGCAGATAAGTATAGAGCGCAGAAATCCTATCATCCGTGACATTAAGCTTTGTTTTTGTATGTTAAAGTTCACACTATATGATTGTTTAAGATTGAATTTAATGAAAAATCCTATCCTTGTTAATAGAGATTCACATTATTCAAGTATGATTCGATGACAGGGTTGAATTCTTAGAGAATCAAGATATTTTCTTGAGAGAATTTTAAAATTTTTAGATTTCAAATTATATGAAAATGGTTAATTAATGAATATATTTGATTATTAATGAGATAATATGATTTTTAGCCTAATGCTATATATCATTAGTTAACTCCACGCATGTCGAATTTACTGGAAATAATTATAAGGACGTCAATAGTAAGGGCATATGATAAATTGTTTAAAAAAAATATCTTTTGGCTAATTTCCCTACGGCAAATCAAAGCTTGCTGTTTAAAAATTTTTCCCCTTGTTTTCTATAAGGCTTTAGTACTGATTTTCGACGGCGATAAAGTGTAATGGTAATGCACCTATTGGTGGTAAGTTAATGAACAGCAGAGACAAGATTAGATGGACACAAGATTGAGCCTGCGCCTACATGACAAATAAAGAGAACTGGAATGAATATCAAGATGAAAAAGGGTATAATTTGTGGTTATGGTAAGAGATGACATCAAGTTGGATGAGAGGTCAGTGGGAATAAAAAATGTGTAGCAGTTGTGGTAAGTTAAAAGTGACAATGTAATTAAATAAAGAATTCAATTAGGGCTCTAAGATGAATTTTGGAAATTTGGCATTATAGAAGGAACAATGCTCTGGTAGGCAGAAAGTCAAGAGTAAGGATTAAGGATATAAAAGAGGTTAATTAGTGAAAAGGATTTAGTTGAGTATTATGTGTAACAAAATCCATTGGGGCCCTTGGATGGAGGGGCGGAGGCCGTTTGGATGCCGGCTTGGGCGCCCTGCCAGTCAAGAGTTGGGGCCTCAAAGCCAGGCTAGCCGAAAACCTCGCCTTGAAATTAGTGTCTTCCTATTAAAGCCTACCTCTATGGGACTGGCCAAAAATAGTTTAAAAAAAGAAATAAAAAAAGAAAAAACCATTTGAACAATGTATGAACTTACGTGTAGCTTTTGAAGTAGAATTCCCGCCGGGCGCATTGCACAATAGCTCTTCAACTGAAAAAAAGTAGGAAGCAAATTGAAATAGAAGACAGTTAGAAAATTATAGATCGAATTGAAAATGGAACTATGATAAACATTTCATATTCCATTAATTCGCCATCATCAGGTTGGAATTAGTTGCTTTATTAATTTTTTTGTTTGTGCAAGTAATTCTTTTTCAGTGACAGTAGCGATTGTTATAGCCACCTATATTTTCTATGCGTAATTTATTTTGGCTATGAAGTACATTGATGTTTTTTTCTAGCAAGTCGTAGACTAGGATAATCAAGAAGAATTCCCAAGTCTGCTTACCTTAGTAAGTATGGGAAGTGGGTGTGACATAAGCCATTAAGAATGAATTTTGACATAATAAAATGATTAATTGATATTATTACAAAGTTGCATTATACATATACAAGGGTAACATAAGTGTCAGCGAATATAGACGGCACTTGGATAAGAATATTACCTCAGTCTTGGACAATCCATTGCAAAGAGTCTGTCAGTCCCTCTCCGTGCCATTATACAGACGCAAAAGAATATAATATAAGTATAAATGGCAATTCTCCTCTTTTTTGAATAAAAGGGCTAATTGAGGCATTAAATTATCAATGATATCGGGGCAATTTTCTTCAACAATTTTCTTTGCATTTTGCAACATAAATCGGAGAAAAAGCTAATTGGCTGCTGGCTGATGCACTTAGTCATTGAGGTTTGTTGTTGACGTCATTGCCATGCCTGCTAATCATAGGCTTGGGGAGCAGCAAAAATCAATGCAAAGATTTTTTTTTTTTTTTTTTTTTTTTTTTTTTTTTTTTTTTTTTTTGCAATTTAAAAGAGGTTTGGATTGTGCAGTTTTAATTCCAAAGCTACTTTTATCAAAGATTTGTTAAAGTTATATTTAATAAAAAAAGTGAAAGCAATTGTTCAAATATTAAAGAAGTACATAAGAAAAGGTACAAGCACCGAATAAATAAATACAAAAACATTACAAAAAGATGATACATACAAATTTGATATGAATTATATAATTAAAAAATTCATATTAGAAGAACATCAAAAATTCAAATTAATTTTGTAATTCATAACATTATATAAATTATAAATTGAGCAAAGAGTTATATGTAAGAATTCTACATTAAATTATATAGCATTTTTCAATAGCCATTTTAAATTTAGTTAAATTGATTTATGTTCATCCCCTTCACTAACTGCATTTATTTGATCAAATTGTATACTTTTTGATCTTATCTAATATGGCAGTTGAGTGGAAGCACCTATAATTTCTCTTTCCTTTTACTTTCATCTCTACTTTTGCATGTCTAACTTCATAAAAAATTTGAAACTTCATTTGGATTTTACTAAATTTTTATATATATTATATTGATTTATAATATATATTTGAATATTTTATATATTCATTTCAATTTTACTATTATGGTCTAGCAAGTTGCCAATAAAATTGTCACCTAATCCTGATAAGTAATTATTCACAAAACCAAAAGCCATTCAAAAATATTGTTGGTTCACATAAAACCAACACCATTATTGGCTATAATTAATTAAATGCTAAGCAAAGAAAATAATAAGAATAGTTTTACCTGTAAAATTTCCTGAAACAAATGCACGAGATGCGTCTCTAAGTTCATCATGAATAAGAAGGAAATCAGTCGTTAATGTGTGAGTATGGAGATATATTTAATAGAGAGGGAAAAAAAGATACAATTGCTGCTATATTTTGCCTAATGGCCTTCTGAAAACAAATAATCATGTAAAGAATTGAATATGGTAATCCTACGACCATAAAGCATCAATTGCCATAAGTATAACAAACAGTGGATTCTTTGTCTTGATTTGATGTGCTAGTTAGCTATGTTAATTTTATTCATCTTCTTTAATATCTTTGCATTTAATGCATTTCACAAATTAATTAATTAAAATGTGAATTTTGGGATTAGGTTTTTGATAGCTATGCCTATAAATCCATTGTAAGTGAAGGAAGGAGCTTTCAAGGATTAGGCAATTTGGCTACTACTTGCTTGTGGTCTTCATTATTAATTTGCTGCAAGAAAACTTCAATTGGTATGGGCTGATTCTCACGGTTAAAGCACCACACCACCAGAAAACATGAAGAGTAAAAGAGTATATTGCTGCCAAATCAGCCAAGCTTCTATGCACACAGTTCAATTGCAATTGAATTGTCCCTTTTAATTGCACCTATGCCTCAATTTACATGTGCATCCTAGCTTTGTGTTACTGGAGTATACGAACACTCATTCCACAAACATGGTTCATGTCTTTATAATCCTCGTCTTCTTTATCTTTGATTTCATTCTCGCCTTTATGTAGCACATTACTAAGGTTTCAAGCCTATTTCCAACTCGATGCAAAAAGTTGCAATGACCTCGATAAAGTCAATGCAGATTTAAGTAAGGAGCTACCTATGAGTGAGGTCAATCAATAATGGTTGTGAATTATGATTATCTAATGTGCATGCTTTTCAGTTTATGCAAGGATAATGGAGGATCTGCACTAACACTTCTTATTTTCATGGAAAAAAAAACTTAAGGGATCTGCAGTAACACTTCTTATGTTTGTTTGGTAAACTAGTATAGGGTTAAATCCTTGATAAAAAGCCTTGTATTCAAGTACAATTCATTTTCATTTTCTTAATTAGTATCTAAATTTGCATATTAGTCTGTTTTTCATATCCAACACAGACAAATTTTAGTCAGTCAATTTATACTATTTTAAAGTGTGTTACACTCTCTCTAACCAGCGGTAAAAAACCCTTGATGTCGATATAAATAATAATTTAAATGCTCAACTCAAAGTGACAAAATAAAACAATAAGGGCTTAATAAACAACATGTATATAGTTCAAGGGGCCTAGGATGCTTTTTCCCAAAAAAAAAAGAAGAAAGAAAATAACAGTTTAAATTTTGAGTATCTGAGCCTTCCACATGTGATTAGCATGAGAAAAATAGGTAGAACAAGGAAGGAGAATGAAGAAGTTAGGAAGGACTTGCAATAAAAAGTATCGTACCACTAACACTTAATGATTTAAGTTTCTTCGAAGGTCCTAAGTCCTTTAGCCTACAATAAATTTATGCCTACAATTTTCATAGCTTTCTCTCATCTTTTTTAATATGTGAATTGTGATACAATTTGACTCTTCTAATTCTTTAATCCCTAACTATTTTCTGACAATTCTTGCTTCCTTTTCAAGAAAGCCTATTGTTCTTGCTTCCTTTGTGACTGTTGGCGATATAGGCTGGAAAGAAATTCAAAATTCCTTGCAAAGATTAATGGCAATGTGAAGCAACTGAATCAATCGACTAAAAAAGGAATTAAGCACAGTCTAGAGTCTTGTAGCATAGAGAAAACCTGAATTTTCCTCGCATGTTCAACATCTTCTAGAAAAGACTAGTTGAAGAATGGATGAACATTGCGAGTATGTGCAATTTTTTTGCATAACTTTCTGTGCACAGCCCAAGGTCATATCTTATTATCTTATGACGCACACCCTGTTTTATTTTCTATACTTTACACTTCACTAAGTGCTGGCGTGGCCTCTTGGATGTTCATATAAATGAGAATTCTATCCAAGTTTAACCCCCAGAAGAATGATGTGCAAACAAAAGTTGCAATTGTAAAAAGCACAAGAAAAAGAAAAGGAAAAAGACATGGCAGAATTTTTCAATTTCATTTTGAACTGAAGAATATGTTCGCTATACATTGAACGCGAAAAAAATAAATACAAACAAAAACTAACCTTCCAGCAAAATGATTGTAACCCCCTCCCACGCCATAGTGAGATTTTCCTTTAGTTACATCAAACACAGATCTGCGTCAAAAATGACAATCAAAAATTATTTCCATTAAATAACAAAAAAACAAATGCAAAGAGATGAACAGAGAAACAAATTACCCAAGAATACCCAACAGAATGGGCAAAGCATCATCAGTGCCATTGTACAGAGCAAGTTCTTCAGCAGTAAACAATCTCTAGTAAACCGAAGCATCCGACTCATTATCTTTCATTTCAAGAATCATAATAGCGAATTGTAGGAAAAGGATTTAGAGAGAATCACCTGCTCTCTACGAGAATCGATGTAGGTTTTGACTGGAATTCTTAAAGCGAGGAATACAGCAATTAGCGACACAAAAATTGTAACCCCAGCAAAGGGAGAGGTTATTAACTTTATTAGTTTTGCCATTTTTCTCAACAATTAATGAAATCGAACACCACAACTTAAAAAGCCTCAGACGTTGGAAACCACATCCCGACACCGTTCATGCAGAGTAATTCACTTAAAATACTTCGAACTTTGCCGGTATTAACGATTCTACCCTATTTTCACCTTAAGAGCCCGTTCGAAATTATGAAATTTATTTAGAAATTTAAAATATTATATTTAAAATCAAATAAAATATAAATTTAAATTTTAGAAACTGATTTCTATAGAATTGAATATGTTAATTCAAATTCTACTACAATTAATGAAATTTATAAATGAATTTCATAAAATTAACCATTAAAATATTTATTGATAAAATTACCCTCTATTATAAATTCAACTATTTTTACTTTTTCTTCTTTTAAGTTTATTTTTTTTTTAAAATTCTAAACTATAACAACAACGTTATTTTTTCTAATCTAATATTGACGTTAGTTTTTATTTTTATTTTTTTTAGAAAATTTCAAACCAGTAATGACTTTTTTTTTTAAGTTTAGTAATAATATTAGTTATTATAAAAACTGAGTATTAACATGTAACACCCACCGACCAATCCCGGAGAACCAGACGGTAGATGCCACAATCGGTGCCGGAGCACCGTCTTATGTCACTTATTAAAGCTAGATCACAAATTAGAAGTGGTTAAATTTTCATAAGGAGGACCCACCGACCAATCCCGGAGAAACAGACGGTGAGATGCCACAATCGGTGCCGGAGCACCGTCTTGATGTCAAGCTTATTAAAAGGCCTAGATCACAAATTAGAAGTGTTAAATTTTCATAAGGAGGCAAAGTAAGTCAACATTTTGTTTTTTTTTTTTTTTACAAAAATAAATGTTTAAGGAAGATTCCTACGAAAATTTCGCAAAGATTTTCCCCTAAAACTATAACTTGCCACACAAAGAAAAATATACACACTTTCAAATTTTCTTCTCCAACCCCCAAAACTCCAATTCACAACAACATACCACAACCCACTTCTAAATATCATCAACATTACTACGCATAATATTTGAAAACTCCAATTCAACACAACATACCACAAGCACTTCTAAATATCCATCAACATACGCATAATATTTGAAACACATTCTTTTCAAGGAATCTATAATCATCATACACCAAAAATAACAGTTGTTTTCAAATGCAATTAAAAACAATAGTAGCATTCTTAATTTTTTTAGTTTCTAAATTAATTACTTAAATAAATAAAATTGTTTACATCAATTAAAAATAATTATTATGATGAATGTCACTGAAATGACCCGAAAAATTTTTCAAAAGTTTTTCATTTAAAAATCTATATATATTAATGCCTTACAATTTATTTAATAAAAATATAATTTATTTATTAAACCAAACCTATAACTAAAATTAAACTCATTAGAAAACCAATTGGAAACCCACAAACCAAAAGAAAATCCAAACAAAGACCTTGAATTGAACCAAACCATCCCTGAATAGAACCAAACTAGCCTTAGACCAACTAGAATGTTCCAAAAATAAGAAAATACCAAAAAAAATCCCCATCTCCCATTTTCCTTTCTCTCCCCATCGCGCCACAGGCCCCTCCCATCCCCTTCTCGTTTTTCGATCACCTGAAGCCAGCGCCAATCCACCTCACTGCCGCTATCGTCTCCTCACCATGCGTCTCTGACTCCTCTTTCTCTCTCTCCCTTCATTTTTTGTGAACGCAGTAGCTGCAGGAAACTTGTAAGTTTGTGATCAGGAAATCGCGTCGCAACAACTCGATTCTCCAACAACTCCAGTGCAAGCAATCAATGCCAGTCTCTCTCTCATCGACAACGGAACCCTAACTCTCTCTCTCACCGTGCTCGTCCTTCTGTTTTCGATCGGCGCAACAATAAAGGGCTGCGCTTAAGATCTGCTGTAATCGGGACAGTCAATTAGCCAATCCTCTTTGCTTTTTTCGGCGAAACTTGTTAAAGACTAGCCGGTTGCATCTTCCAACGTCTCCAGCAACTCTATTGGCGACCATTTTCCTTAGCTCCAGCCAAGCCACCGCCGGCAGAGTCAACCTTAGGCGTTGAAGCTATTTTCGGTTAATTTTGACATAATTTCAGCTAGGTAAACTGATTTTGGATCCTTTTTAGCTTATAATTCATGAATTTTCTAATTTTGTGGGTGATTTGGTGTGCTTGAGGCAACTTCCATATGGAAGCTAAGAATTTGATTAATGGCAGCAACTTCCGATTAGAGAAATTATAGTTTTGATTTAATTAAGTTCATGTATGATAATAAAAGCATATTTTTTTAAGTTCGGGTTCTAAGGGTCCAATCAATCAGCTAAGACTCCGAGCACCACCAAGAACACAACGATAACCATTCTGGATCTAAGAGCTAGAAATGTGCCACTAAGGAGATTTTCTAACTTTGGCACTCCTCTCTCTAAGGTATTTGAGAAAGTAAGAACGACGGGTCTAATATGACTGCTTGTGTTGAGACCTCCTCCAACCATTTTGCCAAAGAATTACGATCAAAGTGCTTATTGCCAATACCATCAGGGTAAGGGCCATACGATTGATAATTGCTTGCGACTGAGGCATGAGATACAAGATCTGATCGACGGTGATAAAGTGACAAATCTAGAAAAATCAAGGTCGAGCACGAGGCCACTTCCAAATTTTAGGAACGTGTCGCCTCCTAAAAACTTATAAATGGTTAAGTTTGGAAAGACTTCTAAGGAGGCACTAGCCGAGATTGAAAAGAGAAGGAGGAAAGAGAGAGGGAGATACTGTTGGAACAAATTTATGTAATGGTGCTAAATGTGTGGGATAGCGATTAGGAGTGGTTGGAACAAAGTGAGCAAGTCTAGGTTGGAAGTGAAGATGAAGTAGAGGTGAATCCCGTTATTCTGGACGTATGGAGTAGCGAGGATGAAAAAGAAGTAGGAGCAGTAAGCCATGTGACCCGCAGTGGTCGAGTGTATAAGCCAGATATAACCAAGTCGAGGGAAGGAAAAGAAAGAGCGAGCTCATTAGATATGCCAAAGAAGTAGAACATGATGCTTTGATGAGACAATTGAAGAGAACCCATGCGAACATAAGCATGTGGGGCCTATTGGTATCATCAAAATAACACCGAGAGGCTTCGCTAAAAGCCATGGTGGAAATTCCAGTTTCATCATCCATTTCTCTAGCTGATTTTATGGGGATAGTGCACCATGATCCCCTCACTATCACTTTTTTTGATCATGAACTTCCTCCTGAAGGAAGGAATCACACCAAGGTATTGTTCATTAAGGCTAAGGTCAGAGGAAGAATGACCGAGAATGTGATGATAGATGACGGATCAGCTCTAAATGTGTGTCCATTAAAAGCTACTTTCCAAGTTTAAGCTATAAGTGTTTTGAGTAGGAACCTTCTTATGTGGTGATTAGAGCATATGATGACTCTAAGAGGCAAGTTGAGGGCGGTGATTAGAGCATATGATGACTCTAAGAGGCAAGTTGAGGGCATCTTCAAAATAGTGGTCAAGGTGGGGCCGATTGAAAAGGAAACTAAATTTATAGTCATTGATATCTCCCCTATATTTGCTTTGCTACTTGGGCGCCCATGGTATCATTCCTTGAGAGGTGTGCTTTAACGCTACACCAGAAAATCAAATTTCCTTACAATGGGAAAATCATAATCATACCTGCTGCTAGCAAGAAAAGCGTAGCTAAGCTAAATGTGGATAAGCAGGTTATCCTGCCATGGAGTAGTTTTCATGTTGCTGTGCTGAGCATTGACATGGGGCCCACTATCTCCAACATTGTAACAGACTGATTTTTTCTTTTAGTGTCGGTAATAGTGATTTACCGGTCTGTGAATAGTACCATCGGTCCGGGACTTGGTATAATTTTAGTCGGAAAAAATTACTATGCATAGTTAATATTTTATTTACTATTTTTGGAGCATGTTTGCATGATTTAGGTGGGTAGAAAATATTTAATGAATATTTTTAAGGTGGGTAGAAAATATTTAATGAATAATTTTTGGAGAGTTTATGTATTAAATGCATAATATTTCCTATAAGTGTGGTATATACTAGAGGAATTTATTTTAGTGAGTTTAATTTAATTAAGTGGTGGAGTTAAATAAGTAAGTAGAAGCAGAATTATTTGAGGAATATTTAGAGCCATTGGATGAGATTATTTAGGACTTGATCTTAGCCACAAATTTGGCATGATTTTAGGAAGTCAAATTTGACTTTGGCACTTAAGTAACACCACAACATTGTTTTCTTTCTTCTCTTCTCTTCTCCACGCCATTTCCATCTTCTTCCTTCTTCCTTCATTTTCTTCATTTTCTTACCTCCAAATTTACCACCAAACTACCTAATTAAACCATAGAATAGGACTTAATCCTTAAGAATTAAGTAGTAGAAGTTGAGATTGGAGATTAAAAGCAAAGAGAAGTGAAGTTAACATTAAAGTAGTAGAAGTTGAGATTGGTGATTAAAAGCAAAGAGAAGTGAAGTTACCAGTTTTGTGAATTGTTAAGTAGAATTCATGGGTTAGACATGTTATTGATGCATTAAATCATGCTCCAACTATTTCTTTTGTCAAGTTTTGCTTGTAATGTTAATTTTTCATGCTTTGAAGAGGTTGGAGAACCATCCTCAAAGGGTAAAGAGAAAGCCAAGGAGTAAGGCTTTCCAAGATTATTCAAGGTTGTAAATAAGGTTAGTGCAATCATAATTTCACTTGTTTAAATTGTTTTTACATGGTTAGGGTTTTGAATATATTTTGGGAACTTTGTATGTTTTGTTGAAATTGCTGAATTTTAATGTGAGATGTGTTTTGCCGTGGGTTTTTGCGACGTGGGATTGGACTAATTTTTTGAGCCCCTTTAATACTTCCCATTTTGTTTTCTTACTTCTTCATGAAAGTTGTAAAGCTCCATTTCTCATCGCTTTCCAAAACATATTCTTAATGTCTAATTACATACTTTGTAGCTCAACTTAATGATTTAAATACCAAAACTGGTTCCTGTTATGATGTTCTTACCCTCCTATCCGAAATGTTATTGTCCCATTTTGACCACTCAAATGCAAAAAATAACGTTTTATGTTTTCATAAAAGTATACGATTTACTTCTTTATCTTTCCAACCATCCT